AGTGCTTCCTTGAGCTGTAGCAAGAGCTCACTACCAGGTACCAGCAGAAATATGTCGTCAACGTGTCTACAGCAGATACACTGTCTTAAACACATGTCAACAAGGACTTTCTGTTCGTAGGTGTCCATGTAAAAATGAGTCAACAGGACAACAAAGGGTTGAACCACAGCAACACCATCTACTTGGCTACACATGCTACCATCAGGGCTCAGGAGGTGCGCCTTCTTGACATGGACTATAAAGAGTGTGTCTACTGGAGCATACTTGGAGCATACCTGGAGTGGGTTCTGGCAGTTGTTCTACTCCCCGAGCCCGGCCCGAGGCCAGGCTTGACTTGTGATGTAACACTTTAGTGTTCCAACGGCACTAAAATGCATTATCATCCGTCTTGTAGCCTTGGGATGCCACACCCAATTGCCGTGGGAAAGGAGAAAGCGGAAAAGCGGCAACAACAGCAGAATGGTATTATGGACACTATAAAGTGTCTCTATAGTGTCCATAATGGTATTATGGACACTAAAGTTACGGAATGTCAGTCAATCCGTAACTTTATAGTGTCACGTGAAGCCAGATTGCTATTATTCCCAAATTGTAACGTAGGTTAAAATAGGCCTTAATAATGAATGTAACCCATGTAGTGTAGGCAGGCAGATGACATTCCTGTAGGTATCCTAGATACAATAGTATAGGACACAAATGGTGGCTTTCACACTGTACTCTACACTAAACACTTCCAAAAGATACCTGATCAACCAGCCTGTGATCCATACGTCAGATTGCGAGCAGCGGCGTCTAACAGTCAGCTCGATTAGACCACCATCCAGGAGGCCTGATCAGAGACAAAGCCGCAGGGACGTTGCTCCTCGAAACCCCCTCACGGTAAGACGGGACCAAAGAGCCAAAGCCCAACCCTACAAACACACAATTATGTAAGTACACTCCCCTGTTAATATCTGGCAAGGAGCGCTCCCGCCCACCAAGACAGACACACACACACACACACACACACACACACACACACACACACACACACACACACACACACACGGAGTGAGTGTGTGTGTGTGTGTGTGTGTGTGTGTGTGTGTGTGTGTGTGTGTGTGTGTGTGTGTGTGTGTGTGTGTGTGTGTGTGTGTGTGTGTGTCTGTGTCTGTCTTGGTGGGCGGTTGAGTTGAGAGTGAGTGTCCCCCGACAGTTGAGAGGCGGGACCAAAGAGCCAGAGCTCAACCCCCGCAAGCACAACTAGGTGAGTACACACAGTGAGCCAGTACCATTAATTACCGGAGATTACACACCCACCACGACGCGTGTCACGCCCACCTTATAATCACCGTGCAGCCCTCACTAACACGGCACAGTTAAGGCACCCAGTCCAAACACAATATTAAGAGAGATCAATGTATCTGCGTGTTGCTTTCTGCTCCCGTAATTATTATTATTGCTACAACCAATTAATTAATATGACAGGCAGATATAGCAGACTGTTAATACCACCACCATTTGCATTACTTACACTATCGTTGTTAAATTTTTTATAGTAAAATCAATAACAGTGATGAGGAAAGTGGAAGGTAAGGCAAGGGGAGAGAGGAGAGCCCAGGAGCCCCGAGCCCGGACCACCACCACCCCGCGGCTGCTACTCCACCAGGACACCTCCCCCATCGGTGGGTCAAGCCCCCACCCTCTCACCCTCTTTTTTTTGTGGGAGTAAAGAGGAAGGAGAGGCATAGGTGAAGGTAAGTATAGATGTGGGAAATACAGTGAGAGGTATGAAAGCAGGCGGGCTGTCCGCCTTGCTGACACGATGTGTGGGTGTTGACAGCTAAGCTAAGCTGGCTCCCTCTTGTCAGGGAGCTGTGAGTGTGTGATTTTCCATTGCTTCTCAAAGTAGTTTATAAGTTCAATTGCTGCCTTGGTCATGTTGGCTAGTAGCGGCTTCGATGGTCCCGGTTGGCATATTATTGGGAGACATCGTCAGCGTATGTGATGTATTCTCCATGTTGGGGTAGGTCAGCTGTATATATGTTGAATAGAGTGGGGGAGAGGCAGCTTCCTTGTGGTACTCCACTTTTCAGTTCAATTACGTCACCCAAGTAGCTGCTGATATTAAGCCTAGCAGTTCTATTGTCTATAAAGCTGCAGAGAGTAGCAGTAAATATCTCAGGAAGTCCTAGTTCAGATATCTTATATTTTAGGCCTACCTTGAGGTGCTTCCGTGGCACACTAGGCCTGTGTGCCACACTTTGTCGAAGGCTTTCGAAACGTCTCTAAGCACTATATTACACCGATCTTTTTTCGACACTGCGTTGGCTATATGCTGGTAGATCAGGGCTATAGCTGTATGGGCCCCTCTGCTATATGCTGGTAGATCAGGGCTATAGCTGTATGGGCCCCTCTGCTATATGCTGGTAGATCAGGGCTATAGCTGTATGGGCCCCTCTGCTATATGCTGGTAGATCAGGGCTATAGCTGTATGGGCCCCTCTGCGGTGTCTAAACCCATGCTGCCTGGTGTTATACTTCTCTTCCTCTGCCATGTACTGTACTTCACAAGTCTCTCATTATTTTTTCGAATATTTTGCCTGGTACTTCGGGGAGGGAAATTGGCCTGTAGTTTTCAGTTTGGGTTGGGGGTTTACCTGGCTTAGGGATTAATCTTATTGTGGCATTCTTGAAGTATGTGGGGAATAGTCCAGATGCAAGAGCTGCATTTATTATACATGTGTATTGATGGAGTGCAGTCACTGGAAGGTTGGATATTATCATCTTATTTATCTTGCTGTTGCCCGGCGCCTTGTTCTGGAAACCCATAATTGTTTTACGGACCTCTGCACTGGTTATGCCGGCCGGCCGTGAAGGTGGTGTTAGGGGAGGTGGTGTGGTGGGAGGGGTAGGGGGGCGCTGGGTGAGGAAGGTGCCGTTATTACTATCGAGCAACGCTGCAGTGTAGGAGCCGTGATATGTACCTGCTGGAGACATTACTCCTTCAGGAGGGAAGGTGTGGGCTACACCTCTCGTGAGGGAGGGGGGGGGGGGGAAGTAGGGGCTGTACCTCTAATTGGGGGGGGGTGGCGTTAGAGTAAACAGGTAATAGCCAGGTACTCTTATTATAATTAATAACTATATGTAGAGTGCGATCCAAAGAGCTGTGGTTGGCCAGGGTCACTGGCCTGGACCACACACATGTGGGAACGCTCATCACATCTACGAGCTGTAAATTACTTGTCAAAGAGCTATCACCTGAAGACATTAAGTAATTTACCCCCAAGAATGCTGTGTCCCTGGAGGATAACATCACCATCTGTGGTGCAGAATATTCCCGAGTGGCCAGATGTGGTGGAGTGTGCCAGGACCAGACCAGATAGACGCCCCACACGTGGTGTCGACGGTGCGAGACTCGCCCAGGACGGTACCCAGGGAACACTGACCATCACAGCTCCACGGTTGTTCAGTAGCCTCACAGCAAGGATAAGAAATATTGCCAGAACAAAAGTGGGATTCAAGAAAAAACTGTGGCCTCCTGAGTCACCATGGCCTCCTGAGAGTCACCATGGCCTCCTGAGAGTCACCGTGGCCTCCTGAGTCACCATGGCCTCCTGAGAGTCACCATGGCCTCCTGAGAGTCACCGTGGCCTCCTGAGAGTCACCGTGGCCTCCTGAGAGTCACCGTGGCCTCCTGAGTCACCGTGGCCTCCTGAGAGTCACCGTGGCCTCCTGAGAGTCACCGTGGCCTCCTGAGAGTCACCGTGGCCTCCTGAGAGTCACCATGGCCTCCTGAGAGTCACCATGGCCTCCTGAGAGTCACCATGGCCTCCTGAGAGTCACCATGGCCTCCTGAGAGTCACCGTGGCCTCCTGAGAGTCACCGTGGCCTCCTGTGAGTCACCGTGGCCTCCTGAGAGTCACCGTGGCCTCCTGAGAGTCAGCGTGGCCTCCTGAGAGTCACCGTGGCCTCCTGAGAGTCACCATGGCCTCCTGAGAGTCACCATGGCCTCCTGAGAGTCACCATGGCCTCCTGAGAGTCACCATGGCCTCCTGAGAGTCACCATGGCCTCCTGAGTCACCATGGCCTCCTGAGAGTCACCATGGCCTCCTGAGAGTCACCATGGCCTCCTGAGAGTCACCGTGGCCTCCTGAGAGTCACCGTGGCCTCCTGAGAGTCATCGTGGCCTCCTGAGAGTCACCGTGGCCTCCTGAGAGTCACCGTGGCCTCCTGAGAGTCACCATGGCCTCCTGAGAGTCACCATGGCCTCCTGAGAGTCACCATGGCCTCCTGAGAGTCACCATGGCCTCCTGAGAGTCACCATGGCCTCCTGAGAGTCACCATGGCCTCCTGAGAGTCACCATGGCCTCCTGAGAGTGAGACACTAGGTGAGTGTCCACCAGACCAACACCGTACACCATAACCATGGTGACTGCTCCTCACCTCACAGCATCACTCCAGCAACTGATGAGTCCATCACAGTTGATCACGTCCCACGACGACAGCGATAAAGCCAATATACACACACTGGACCCAACACAATAAGTGGTTACTGCCCGGGCCATTACCACCATAACTACCAAATAGGTCACTACACCTTCTGACCTACACAGGAAAATCACCATCACGAAATGAAGTGTGGCGGACTATGAGCATCATCGCTTCAGAAAGGAAGACTCCAGTGTGAAGGAAACTTTTAGAATAATTACGACAGATTTAAAAATAAAAGCGAAGCGGTTTAGGGGTACCAAGCAGTCAGTCCCCTGCAGGGGTTGACAAGGTGGAGACCCGTAGTAGTGGTGCTGTAGCTTACATGTACAGTACATGTACATGGTAAGGTAAGGTTCATGGCGACACTAACACACTCTTACTGCCACTCACACAAACCCAGTCACCACATTAAGCTCCCACCACCACCACCACATAAACCAACAAGCACCCAAGACTACCACCACCACCACACTAACCAACAACCATCCGCCACCTCCACCACCACACTAAGAGGGGGCAGCGTATTACCTTCCCAGGCTTTGGTCACATCAGGCACGGCTGTAGGGAAGCAAAATAAAAAGTGAACATAAGCAAGCAAATAAAATATAACATTGCCAAAGTAATTTGGAAGCTGACAAAAGTAAGTCTGCATTAAATTATCTACAAAATAATAATTCAAATTAACTCATAATATTAAATTAGGCTATCATTATAAAAATACAAGCTCAAGAATTTTGTGCATAAAATAATGGTATTGTGAATGAATGCGAGTCTAAACATTAGCATATAATTCGAGCAGAGAAAAAGAAAGTTAACTATAGCAAAATAAAGCATTGTCATCTTCATCAAGGGGGAACTAAATGATAAAAGGAGCATGGCAAAGGAAAAAAAAACAGCTGAAGATCAAAGACTGAAGGGGTCGTACGAGCACGGGCACGTGCACACACATGAACACACAGTCTGGGTGGCACAGTCACATCAGTCAGGGCGTGGGGACAGTCACATCAGTCAGGGCGTGGGGACAGGGAACAGGTGTGGGGCCGCGCTCCTCAAAAAAGTAGTCATATCTCTGGACATCAAAGTGATACGGAGAAACGTCAGTGTGTAGTGATAGTACAAAGTGTCACACAACGCATAGACCATCAAAGCCGCTACTAGCCGACAAGACCAAGGCACCAATTGAACTCAAACAACTTCGAGAAGCAATGGAAAATTAGCACCAACAAACAAAAGTTTTAGATAATACACATTGCGGAAAGAAACCCGGACCCCATTTTCCTTGACAACTATCCGATCCAATATGCGGAGGTAGGCAGAATACTGGGACTCATGATAAATAGAACAGGGATACAAACTCATGTAAGGGACCGACTAAACAAAGCCAAAGCAGCCTTAGGAAAACTGAGGAGATTCCGAAGCCTCAGTATAAACATTCAGATCCACCTATATAAGGCTCTAGTTCGGCCGCATCTAGAGTATCCCCCAGTACCACTACACACCATAAAGAAAACTAACATGCAGAAACTGCAAGCAGTACAAAATAAGGCGCTAAGGAGAGCAGCAAAACACCGTCCACCATATGATCAGACAATCCAGGAGCTCCATGAACTCCTGAACATACAGCCACTAAACATCAGACTGCAGCACCAAGCCATCAGGGTGTGGAACACCATCGAAATGTTAAGAGGACCCAATGTTTGAAAGATTTCTGCAAGATTACTCCAAGAATGTAGTTAGTAAACAGTTGATTGACAGTCGAGAGGCGGGCCGAAAGAGCAAAGCTCAACCCCCCGCAAACACAACTAGGTGAATACAATTAGGTGAATACAGGTACCAATAGAGGCCCTACCTGCCCCAGCCCCTACGCTCCTCCACCCCACTATCTCCTCCCTTCTCCCCCTCCTCCTTAAGCCCTCCTTTCTCCCTCACCCCCTCCCCCAAGCCCACCCTCCTCTCCTGCCCCCCCCAAGCCCCCCTTTCTCCCCCCCCCCCTAAGCCCTCCTTTCTCCCCCACCCCTCCAGGCCCTCCCTTCGCCCCTATCCTCTCCAAACCAGATCCTCCAAGCCCCTCACAACCCAGGTTCCCCTCATTCTCAGTCCCCCCCTCACAACCCAGGGCCCACCCTTCCCCCTCCCCATCCCAGACCCTCCATGTTTACCTACTCCAGTGGAACCAACAGAAACTGAGGATGGACAGAAAAGAATCGGCTTAAAGGTGATGTACTCAAACATTGATGGGATTACAAGTAAGGCGAGTGAACTTAGGGAAAGAGCACAAGAAGTAAACCCTAGATGTAAAGTAAACACGGAAACAAAACTCTCAGGAATCATAACAAATGTGGTGTTCCCCCAGGAATACACTGTAATAAGGAAAGAGAGGGAGGGTAGGGGAGGAGGTGGAGTGGCCCTACTCATGAGAAAGGACTGGAGTTTCAAGGAGAAGGTTATCTTAGGCTGTGAAGGGTTTAGAGACTACGTAACAGGCACCATGACGATGGGAGGACCAAGAGTAGTAGTAGCAGTGATATATAACCCTCCACCAAACGACAGAAGACCCAGGCAAGAGTATGATAGAAACAACATGGAAGTTAACAATATAATTGAGAGGGCAGCCTCTGCTGCCTGCAGAATTCGATCCCATCTGCTCATCATAGGTGACTTCAATCACAGAAGGATAGACTGGGAGAACAAGGAACCGCACGGAGGAGAGGAAACATGGCAAGCTAGACTACTGGAGGTGGCAACAAGAAACTTTATAAGCAGCATGTCAGAGTACCCACAAAAGTGAGGGGAAACGATGAACCAGCGAGACTCGACCTAGTATTCACTCTGAATGACTCCGACGTGAGGGAAATTGACTTTGAGGCCCCAGTAGGAATGAACGATCAGAGCGTACTGACATTTGAGTATCTGGTCGAAGAAGGGTTAAAGAACTCGAGAAAGGGAACCGAAAGAAAAAAAGGCTAGCATTCCGTAGGGGAAACTATGAGATGAGAAATTTCCTAACGGATATAACATGGGAAACAGAGCTAAGGGGAAAGACGGCCCAAGACATGATGGAATACACCACACAGAAATGTAAGGAGGCAGCAGAAAAGTTTATCCCGGCCCAAAAGGTAAAAAATGAAACGCAGATAAGAAACCCATGGTTTAATCAGAGAAGTAAGCTAGCTAAGCAAGTAAGTAAAAGAGCATGGACAAACTATAGAAATAACAGGATACCCGAGAGCAGAGAAGGATACCAGAGAGCCAGGAATGAATACGTCAGGGTGAGAAGCGAGGCAGAAGGGCAATATGAAAACGACATAGCAAGTAAGGCTAAGACAACCCAAATTACTGCACAGCCACATCAGGAGAAAAACAACAGTGAAGGAACAGGTAATGAAACTGAAGATAGAGGCAGACAGATTCACTACAAACGACAAAAAAGTGCGCAAGGCACTCAACAGGAAATTCCAGGAAGTCTTCACATTGGAGCAAGGGGAAGTTCCAGAGATAAGAGAAGAAATAGTTAACCAGGCACCACTAGGAGTTTAAGATTACCAGTGGGGATGTAAGGAAGCTTTTGCTGGAGTTGGATGTGACAAAAGCTATAGGCCCGGATGGAATATCGCCATGAATACTAAAGGAATGAGCAGAAGCACTGTGCCTGCCACTCTCCGTGGTGTATAACAAATCACTGGTAACAGGTAAATTGCCAAACATTTGGAAGACGGTGAACGTAGCCCCGATATACAAAAAGGGGGATAGACAGGAGGCACTGAACTACAGGCCAGTGTCCCTAACTTGCATACCATGCAAGTTATTGGAGAAAATTGTGCGAAAAAAGCTAGTGGAACATCTGGAGTGAAGGAACTTTGTGACAACACTAACATGGTTTCAGGTATGGCAAATCATGCCTCACAGGATTAATTGAATTCTACAATCAGGCAACAAGCATCGGACAAGAAAGAGAGGGGTGGGCAGACTGCATATTTTTGGATTGCCAGAAAGCCTTTGACACAGTTCCACACTGGAGACTAGTGCGAAAGCTGGAGATGCAGGCAGGAGTGAAAGGTAAGGTACTGCATTAGATAAGGGAGTGCCTAAGCAACAGAAGACAGCGAGTCAGTGTGAGGGGTGAGGTCTCAGATTGGCGAGACGTCCCCCAGTGGAGTCCCGCAGGGTTCAGTCCTTGGACCCATACTGTTTCTTATATATGTAAATGATCTTCCAGATGGTATAGAATCACTCCTCTCATTTTTGCTGATGATGCAAAAATTATGAGGAGGATTAAGACGGAGAAAGATTGTCTAAGTCATCTTGTAACCTCATACTGACTGAATGAATGGTCCAACAAATGGCTACTAAGGTTCAACCCGAGTAAATGTAAGGTAATGAAACCAGGCAGTGGAAACAGGAGGCCACACACAGGATACAGAATGGGAGATGAAGTCCTTCATGAAATGGACAGAAAGATCTGAGAGTTGATATCACACCAAACCTGTCTCCTGAAGCCCACATTAAAAGAATAACATCTGCAGCGTATGCGAGGCTGGCTAACATCAGAACTGCCTTCAGGAACCTGTGTAATGAATCATTCAGAACTTTGAATACCACATATGAAGACCAATCCTGGAGTATGCGGCTCCAGCATGGAGCCCGTACCTTGTCAAGCACAAGGCGAAAGCTTGAAAAAGTTCAGGGGTATGCCACTAGACTGGTCCCAGAACTAAGAGGCATGAGTTACGAGGAAAGGCTGCGGGAAATGCACCTCACAACACTGGAAGACATAAGAGTAAGGGGAGACATGATCACTACCTACAAAATTCTCAGAGGAATTGACAGGGTAGATAAAGTTAAACTGTTAAACACGGGTGGTACGCGAACAAGGGAACACAGGTGGAAACTGAGTACCCAAATTAGCCACAGGGACGTTAGAAAAAACATTTTCAGTGTCAGAGTAGTTAACAGATGGAATGCATTAGGCAGTGATGTGGTGGAGGCTGACTCCATACACAGTTTCAAATGTAGATATGATAGAGCCCAATAGGCTCAGGAACCTGTACACCTGTTGATTGACAGTTGAGAGGCGGGACCAAAGAGCCAGAGCTCAACCCCCGCAAGCACAACTAGGCGAGTACACACACGTCCCCCCCCCCCAAAAAAAAAACACGTGTGGGCGGGGTGTGCACGAACATGAACCGCACGCCCCCGTTAGCAAGGCGGACAGCCCGCCTGCTTTCATACTTCTCACTGCATTTCCCACTTCTATACTTCCCTTCACCAATGCCTCTCCTTCCTCTTTACTCCCCCCCCAAACCCCCCCCCCCCCCCTCGACACACACACACACACGTACGTATGTAAATTTAAAGCAGTAAACAGTAATATTTAAACACAATAATCTCGGTAAACCAAATATTTACCGATCAGTAAATATGGCACCGGAATATATATGTTTTTAAATGTTGTGGGAAAGGTTTACTTAAACGGTACGAGGGAGTAAAGGATTTATATGACAAGGCTTTACAAGAGGAGATTCGAACCTGCCGAAGTAGAATGCAGGAGACAACGCCCA